GATTCATGTGTCTGCTTTCTGCTTGTAGTTGTCCTCCGGTTTCCTTACCTCTTCCTCTCTTGTCTTCTATTTGACCTTCGCGGGTGCGTGCTATGTGCGGATTGGTTATTCTCCTAAGGATCCTCAACACTAAACCCTCTGCGTACCGTGTTTCTCTTAGGGTGCTGAGTGGGGTGGAATGCCTTTTCCCGCTCACTCCAGGTCCATTGGTGTTCCTCCGTCTGGTTCCTCCCTTGGGATGGTTGGACTCCACCAATCAGTGAAATGGAGGGTTCTTCCTGATCCTCGCGCCAATAACCCCCTCTTTAGCCAACTCTCCTCAAATTCTTTCTGTAATTTGTTCTTTTTCTGTACGTCCGCTTCCTTTTCCATCTTGCTCAGGGTTTGCTTCCATTCCACTCGGACTCCTGTTTGCACCATTTCTCTTGCTTCCTCCCGCGATTCATTTGTTGATATTTTCTTTTTGCTAATTGTGCCTGTGCATCTAGCTCTCCAGATTACCCATAGGGTTGTTCTTCTCAGCAGTTCTGTGATTCCACTGTCTTCTTCGGGTACTATGTCTTCATGGTCGATTGCTGTCAAGAGGAAAAGCTGGTCCGCGGGGTATTCATTAGGGGATAGTTTGGCCCATGCTCCTTTGCACTTGTCCCAGAGGGATTTGGCATGTTGACAGTGCAAGAAGCAGTGAGTTAGGGTCTCTCTTTGCTGGTCTTGGCACATCTGGCAGTGCGCTGAAGTTTCCGACCTGACTTCCTCTTTTCTTCTCGAGTCCAGCCACGCATTGACAGGGACTGCTAGGTAGATGATCAACCATTGGAGGCTCCTTACTCGTTGAGGTTTAATGGAGGCGTAAAAAGACCATGGTATTGTCTGCAGGGCGACGGGGTCGATTTGTAGATTCCTTTCCCATCTAGCCGCTATGGTGGGCTGGGGGTTTTCCGCCTTGCGTCTAATATTGTAACCCTTTTTGGCTGTATATTCGTGCAAAGTGATCCATTTTTTGGCTCTGCCACGTCCTCTCTTCTCGTACCATCCCCATTCGTTAGGGTCCACTTCTAGTTCTGATATATCCTTGTTAGGACTGAACAGCCAGATGGGGGCTTCCCTGTCTCCCTTTCCCCTCATTGAGCTTCTTTGCTTGTTTTCCAGTTCTCTGACTTTACGCAAATCTCGAATGCTGAAATCCAGTGTTATTAAAGTGTCTTTCCTGGCTGCGACTATTGATTTATTTTTGTCTTCTAATCCGTGTACTTCGAATAGAGCTGTTCTTCTATCTGGTGTTGAGTACTTTATGAAGCGGAGGGCCACCGAGGGAGTGCTCTGAGTCAACAGGGTTGCCCAATCACCCTTCTTCCAGGCTCTCTTCCTTTTTAGCGTTGCTCTCCAGGCTGTCTATTAGTTCCTCCAGGTTCTTCTGCAGGTTGTGGTGGCCTTTTAGGATGCTCCTGAGGTCCCCTTCTGACTTCCATTGACCCTTTTGATCATCCCATAAGTGTTCTACTTTCCATATTCCCTTTTCCATCCAGATTCTCCATTTCTTTCCTCTTCCATTGAGGGACCATGCCCTCCCTTCTTGGTCCTTTAGTAATTCATTCCCAAAGAGGGGTTGTTTCTTCTTTTGTCCTTGGTCCTCTTCTTCTTTGTGGGAAGGCCTCTCTCCAGGTGGTAGTTAGTTTGGACCAGTGCCCGCTTGGGGGGTCAGCGTTTGGTTCTGGGTCTGTTCCCTTCCCTTCTGGGTGACCAGTGCCTGTTCATGAGCCATGTGTGGCCCTCTATGCTGCTGTGGGCCTTGAATGGCACTAAGTTTCTTATTTGGTAAAGAGTCATTTCCTGCCAGGGGAGTTCCAATTTCAGTAGTAACCTTAGGATCCACTTAGTCTGGAGAGCTTTGTACTCAGTCACCGGATCTATCAGGCTAAGGCCCTCTTCGCTTGAAGGATTGGTTACGTATTTCCAAGCAACTTTTGTTATGAATTGGTTTCTTGATGCATCACCTGTCCATAAGTACGCTGCTGCTTTTCTCTTCAGGTTCTTGGTGAAGGCTGGTGGTGGGTCCCAGATTGAGGTTGTGTACCAAATCATGGAGAAGATCGAGGAGTTAATGATTAAGGCCCTCCCCATTAGAGAGGTGTATGTGTTCTGCCATCCTACATATATATTCATGACCGCTGCCAAAAGGTTCGGCGCTATCGAGTTACTGGCTCCCGTCATGGCTATGGATATGCCCAGAAATTTGAAGGGGACTTGGTGATCCAACCATTGTAAACCTTGTGTGGATTCGGTCGACGGTGGGGAGGGGGTGTCAGAGTGCCACCACCCTATCGTTTTCTTCCAGTTTATCCCCATTTCTGAGGCCAGTTGGAAAGCTTGCATGGCTCTTGTCAGTGCTTGGAAGGATGAGTCTGTAGCCCTTATAAGGACTGTCAGATCATCTGCAAACAGCATCACTGTGGGGAGTTGGATTTGGCCATTTCTTCCATCGTCCAGAGGCTGTCTCTTATACACATCTAGATGTGTATAAGAGACAGGTCCAGAGGCTTGTATCCTTTCTATTGAGGGGTCTTTTCTCATGAAGGCTGCGATTGCTTCCATGACAAAGAGGAATATTGGGGCGGCTAATGGATCTCCTTGTCTGACCGATCTTGTCATTTTGTATGTCTCTTATAGGTGGCCATTTATTTGGACTTTTCCCCTTGCATCCGCATATAGGACTCTCACCCACCTTCGGAAGGATGGACCCACCCCCATTCTTTCCATGCACTGCTGTAGAAAGTCCCAGTTGACCTGATCGTAAGCCTTCTCGAAGTCGAAAAAAAGGATGGTTGCTTGTAGCTTCTTATCATGTATTATTTTGGTTGCCTCCTTTAAGCAGATTACGTTATCTAGGATGAATCTTCCTGGAATGAAGCCCGTTTGGTCCAAGTGGAAGCATTTGTCTGTTAAGCTTCTTATTCTATTAGCGATCACTTTGGCCAAGATCTTATATGCTACTAGTAGCAGGGATATTGGTCTATAGTTTCTTATGTCTTCTCTTTCCCCTTTTTTGTAAAGCAGCGTTATTACCCCCGTACCGATCTCTTCCCCTAGGCCTCCCTTTCGATATGCCTCTTGGAAGAAGCGCAAGAGGTCCCTTCCTAGAATTGGCCAATACTCCTGCCAGAATTCTCTTGTCAGACCATCTATGCCCGGGACTTTGTTTGGTTGCATAGATTCTAGTGCTTTACGTATTTATGGGAGAGTGAGGTCCTTATCCAGATAGGCTGATGCTTCTGGTTGTACGCTAGTATCCAGGTGCTTCAAAAATTTCTCTCTTGCTCTCCTTATAGCCCCGCCGTCTTAGTTGGTAGACTGTGATGTGTACAGTTTTTTGTATGTAGCAATTTGTAGCAGGTCTTTTTGTTGGCTTTTGACTATTTCCCTCTCGTCTTTCAGCTCCAATATTCTGCTATTTCTGCTGTTTGCTTTGATTTTTTGGAAGAAATATTTGGTCATGGTCTCGTTGCTTTCCCAATCTTTCATTCTTGCTCTGATGCTCAGGCCTCTTCTTTTCCATTCGGCCCATTTTGCCAGTTCTTCCCTTGCTGATGAGAGTAGGGATTCGTACATTGGAGCGCCAGGGTTGAGTGTTAAGTTGTACTCTGCCGTCTCGATTATGGATTCAAGCAATTTTTGTCTTCCCCTTCTTCTTTTGGCTTCGTTCCTTGATTCCTTGCTTAGCTCCTTGCTTACCTCCCATAAGGCTTTTCCATAGTATGAGAGTATGTTTTCTCCCTGCATCTTGGGGGGTGTGTCTCTCCCATGTTTGTTCGACAGCGTTCTTGAATCCTTCCAGTCTTAATAGGGAGTTGTTAGAGATTACAGGATATTAAAAAAAAAAAAGAAAAAAAAAAGCGGTGTATCTTCCCTTGCTCTTGCAGAAGATTCATTCTCATTTTGCACATGTTGTGAGTATCACATGCACAAAAGACAAACAACATGCGGTGTATCACTGTATCTTCCCATGTTCTAGCGGAAGATTCCTTCTCAATTTGCACATGTCGTGAGTAGTGGAGAGAGTACTCACGACAAGTGCAAAATGAGAATGAATCTTCTGCCAGAACATGGGAAGATACACCGCATATTCTGTGTCTTTTGTGCATGTGGTGAGTACACTGAGTAGTGAAGCGAGACCCTATACGGGCAAGAATGCAGAGATTCATGACAAGAGCATAGCCCCTGCAAAGGGAAAAAAAAAAACGAAACAGAAAAAACAGAGCGCACTGCGCGCGCATGGAGGCCAGAGGCGCGCACTACTGCGCACTGCCCATGCACGCGCACAGCTGCACCCTGCCCATGCGCACACACTACTGCGCACTGCCCATGCGCGCGCACGTGCGCAGATCATCACTCATGACCGCACGGCGCACGGCACACCGCATAGGTGTGCCACAAGTATGGTCCAAAGGGTTGGAGGTCTTTGGTTGGGAAATTGTTTAGTTGCACTTCTTAATGCCGCCAGGCTGCTGAAGCAGCACTGTAGCTGGGGAACTGCTGCTAGGGGTTAGATGCAGCAGTGAAAGAGACGCTAACCTGCTGAGCTTGGTGGCACCCATGTCTGCGCTGTGGAGTTAGGCACTACCATATCTTCTTCTCTGTGGCAGCTGTTTTCTTCTTTTTTTTTATAACCATTTCTCGATTTATGCGTGCTATCCTTGTGCAGGGGCCATGCTAATCTTCTCTGTATCATTACAATTTTAACAGATGTACCAGGGTTCCTTCTTCATCCTGGTGCTGGTGCTGCACTGCTGGTTGTTCTGGGAGGTCTCTGGCACAGCACTGGATCATCTGAGTGAGTTCTGAATGACATTGATGCTGCTGGGACAGGAGAGTGGTGGCGCAGGTGGTCTGCAGAGTAGCGAGGCTGGTGCTATAAGTTTGGGTTGAGCGCCGCAGCCGGTTATAGAGCTTGAGCTGGAGTGAGGAGGAAGACTCCAGGGTCTTGACGAATCTGTGTTTGGAGTTCACTCAGAGCAGTTTTACTCTCGGTTGTGACCCTTGGTCTCTTTTATGATCCTGATTGTGCTAGAGAGTGGTGATGGACTTTTGAATTGATACTATTCAATTCTTCATGGTTACTCAACTTCGGCTGTGCATGTGTCTGGTGTGGTGTGAGTCCCTCTCTAAATCAACTTTGTCATCCTGGCATGTGCTTGGAACATGTTGATGCCCTCCTGGATTTCGTTCTCAATCAGTCACACAGCACCAGGAGTTCAAAGTGTGTCAGAGATTCCATTTGGACCAGGGTGCTGTCTTCTTTGCCACCTGAAAGCAGGGAATGTAGGTGAATGAGAGAAAGATCCGGACATCAGTGGATGGAGAGGGGCAGATGGAGGTAACTATGGGCTCTTCCATTCTGTCTCCATGTCTACAGTTTGATGATCCCCGTTACTGCTTGTGCCAAGCCCTCATGGTGCTTATTCTGCATCCGGTGAAGGACAGGAGAGGTTGAGAGGGACAGAAATTGAGACAAGAACGCAGTAGAGGCACCCTGTCTTACCCACAAAACTCCTACCCTATACCATGAGCATAATCACACAGCTACATGAGGTGGCAAGAGTATCTGAAAGTTGACCGACACATACATGCGCACGTGCACACACCCATGCACTTGCACACACACACATTGACGACACACACACACAAACAGATACTTCGCCATTCACGAATCCCATCCATAGGTACATTCATGCCAAGGATGCACAGTTGTTCCATGGAAGCCGTCCTCAGAAGTCATAATATTTTTCACAAGCCCATGACACACAACAACATGGAACCTAAGAACATTTGACGTAGAGAAGGTTAAGCTGGTGGCCTGAAACAGCCCATCCAGAGGCAGTATTTCTCTGGTACTTCACCACACACCCAGCATGTGAATATAACAGGTCCTCATTACCCTTTCCCTCTGCTCCCATACCAGGCATCCTTCTCTTAATAAGTTCTTCTATGTGATGTCATCAATGACACGCGCAAAGACTTCAAACTCTTTCCAACCGATAGGGATATCGCCAATAATCTCCAGGTTCATCGGCCCCTTTGGAAGAGTTGAAGGCCTTATTGTCCCCTTGAAATTGGCCAGGAACATACACTGGCTGTTGGTGAGCTTTGTGCCTGCATATTGCTTCATACCTTTCCGGAGGTCTTCAATTGTAACAGAGCCTACTTTGTCTTTGTCCATTTGATCAAAGAGAAGGCGAAGAGGGCATTTTCCATCTGGAATGTGTTTCCTCTCTTGCTGCACACTCCGCCGCATCAAGCTGTCCCATGCCACTTGCCAGCCTTGCACACGACTGGGCCCGCTTGGAACAGTCCACCCTCCACTCACTCCACCACTCGCCAAAGATGCAACTAAAGCTGGCGATAGCTCTGAGGAAGGTATTGGGTGGAAAGGGGTTTGTGGAGAGCGAGGTTTTGACGCACTGCCAAGACCCATGATTGTAGCATACCTATTGCTGAACTGAGGAACCCCTAGGCCCGGTGTTGGTGTTCTTGATATATCGAAGTCCTGATTTGACTTTCCTGCTGATGATCCTGGCCCAGAGGCATCTGGACCAAGCTGTCCCAATGGAGCTGATGAAGAGGTGAAGTTTTCGGGATTGAGGGCAGCATTGGACAAGCCATCCTGACGAGCAGGCCCATCAATTAGCTCAGAAAGAATTCCTGATGAGAAGCGCCGCCGATCATCACCTGTTGTTGGCTGGGCTTGACTTCCTGGTGTCTGAGCACTGAAGCTCAGAGCCTTAAACCGTGAAGTTCCCAATCTGGATCTTCTTTCCTCTGGGCTCGTTGGCTGCAGAATGGGTGGCAGATATCCCTGATGTCGAGGAGTGCTTGGCTGCTCAGGATTAGCCATATTCAAGGGTAAAGGAGGAACACCCTTCAGGAGGGACTCCATGAAGTTTGCCATGGACAAATTGAGTCGTCTTATTGCAAGTGACACAGAATCGCGAGGATAACCATTGATGAAATCCCTGTGCAATTTTGGAGGAGGCACCAGTGCTCCTACCTGTAGCCTTCCTGCGCCTGGAGGCTTCCCAGGTATCTGTGGAAGTGGGACTTGTCCTTCAGTGGTGGGAGGGGTGAGCTCCTTCTCGGCTGGTTCATTCTGATGAAATGATGGCTCCGGCAAACCTGCAAAACTCACAGATTTATCATCATCCACACCCTGTGGTGACATCACATTCCCAGCTGGATCTCGCATCGAACTATGTTTCCCACCGGGGACGCTGCTGGGAGTCGTATTGTTCCTAGCAACAATATTCACGGGTGTCGTTGTATTTCTAGTCCCTGCAGCAGGCGTTGCACTCCGTGCCTGATCAGGTGGTGGACCAGCTCCTCCTTGCCCGGAGACAGCAGCAGCGCCAGAGATGGGCGCTGCCTGCCTTGATGCAGGGGCGGAGGACTTCCGGGCAAGATACTCTAGCCAGTAAGGATGCATGATACGCATTCGCTCAAAGCTTAGCCTGTTTGCATAGTCCTTGAGAATCGAGTCACGAGTTGTCTGATCTGCTTGAGCCATCTGGCAAAGCCCACACGGACATTGTGTTACCAAGAAGGTTAGGATAGAAGAAGAACCTGAGGGAGAGCAATAACATGATAACTTTTGGGCAGACAAGCATGCATGCATGCACCATCAGAGCCAGGGCACAATCTGCCACCTGCCAACCATTATGAATCATCTGCATTCCCAATCCTGGTGTGGGGTAGGGTGGGAGAAGGGGGAATCGGCGCTTATGTCATCCATCTTCCGTCTGCTTTTCAAATCCAAAGGTTGCACAAAGGGGAAGGGCAGGAAGTGGCTGGAAGAGCCATACCTCGTCCATCAATTGGATCTAAGCGCAGGAGGAGGTCAAAGGGAGGTGCAATAAGCAGAAGGAAGAGTCGGTGGTCTATTGGTGAAGACACGGTGATTTCTGGCCGAGGTTGTGAATGGGTTCCACACATTCAGATGCATATTCTATCATGCATCTCTCTAACTATTATTCAAGCATTCTCCTTTTCTTCATGGTAGCTAGAGCTCCTGCAGCTTGGGTGTATCTCATGTGTGATGGTGATTTAGGTGCCGAACAGAGTCTTGGACCACCATTTCCACACTGCTGAATAGAGAGAGGAGATGCATGGCTCCCACACGGGCCCCTTCAGGGCACGGCATTGGTTCAGGGGTTGTGGAGAGTTTTTCTTTTTCCCTGTAAACCCTAAACCCTAAACCCTAAGACCTATAACCCAATCTCTAAACACTCGGTTGTAAGACTTGAAATGGTATTCACCAGTTAGCAGTAGCTGCTGCAGATCCCAGGGTTCGATCCCTAGACCCCAACCTTACCTGTGTACAGTACCGGTGAAGCCCCGTAGAGTTGAACCCATGACCTGTGTATTTCTAACAGTCGATAGGTTGTCATAGGGTCCGTAGGTAGCATGGGTTCGAGCTGTAGACCTGTCGGATAGGAGTCATAGTCAGGTCTAGTGGTCGTAGCTGTAGTATTCTCGAAAGGTCAAGGTYGTAGCTGCWACAGTCCAGAAGGGTCAGAGTCGTAGCTGCTACAGTCACGAAAGGCCAAGCTTACGGCCTTCCGGAAGGTCCTAGTRGTGGCCTTTCGTAGTTGCCCACGTTTAGGCAGAGGCAAKTGGTCAAGTGGTGAGGCAAGTGGGCAAGTGGTGGAAGTCTACCGTGCTGAGTCAACAGTCCCAGTCTCCAGTCAGTCAAGCAAGTACCGCATGGGACTGTGTGCACTTCGGGCAAGGGAAATGGGCCAGACCAACGAGCTGCAGAAGTATAAATCAAGAGGCAGCGCCCAGCCAYTCATTCATTCCTGCSGAAGCCRTGCGGAAGCRCTGCCACGGTRACTTGTGCGAGGTGGTCTGCAGAGGAGCCTGAAGTCGAMGTGGGCTGGAGGAGTTAGCGCAGCCATAGCTGCTTGTAGGGTAGTGTTAGTGGCGGCCGTAGCTGCCATAGCTGTTAGTGTAGTGTGTGTACAGTGTGTGTGCGTGGGGTATCCAGGGTGATCCGGAGTTGAAGTGTGAAGCGAACAGTGGTGTTGTACACAGAGACAAGAGTTGCGATGTGTGGGTGCTGATGCACCGTAGCCTGTTGAAGCGAGCGCATATCTGAACTGTCTTGATTTCCATATCTTCGAGCTTTGAGTTGGGCGCTACGCGCCAGAGTGATTCACCATCTGTTTGTATGCATGTGAAGTGACGAAGTATGCGAGTCTGATTGCACTGGTATCGGAGCTGGTACCCGCTACTCCATGCGCTTCGCCGTTGTAGCAGGAGGGAGACGCGTGAGCGCCATAGCTGAAGTGCGCCACCCTTGAAGAAGAAGTCCGCCATAGCTGGGCTGCGGAAGAGAGTGACGCGTACCTGCACAAGAGGACAACGACGAGA